TCTTCTTCTTACTTCTTCTTTACAAGGTTTCAGTGCCCAAGGTTATCATGGTGGCGTTGCTTTAGGAAATCGCCGTCGGTACGACTGCTGAACGACTGGGTTGGTGTTTTTCTTATCGTGTGCATCTGGTCGGGTTTATTAGCTTGCAACCAACGGCATGCGAGGCAAGCAGGATGGGCAGCAAGGCAGCGGCAGAGTGCAGACGAGGCAGTCTGCACATTCAACACGGAGCAAGCAGCACATTACCTGTTCACATCACGATTGAACCCCAGAGACTGTTGGCTCCCACCACCTGCTGACCCAGGAAGGTACTCCGATGGGCATTTAGCATCCACGCATAGACTTTATGCACCGCAGACATCACAGACAGCGCCCCTTGCAGGCACTCAAACAACCGACCACCAACTACTTAGCACTTCTTAGAGGTCCTCATCTGGACACATACAAAGTACCTAGAAAAAAGACAAGGCAAAAAGAAAATCAAAGACGAGGAAATGCATACATACATACATTAGTGTGTGTGTGTGTGTGTGTGTGTGTGTGTGAGACACAGAGAGAGAACACACACTGTGACTTACCTTTCGCTATTGAGGATGGCCATCGTCACCATGTGTGACGGTGCACCCACTGGGCAGGAGACTTCACCCAGGTGTGTGGCCATACAAAGAGGAGTGTCCAGAGTTGATATGCAACACAGATCTGGTCTCTGTGTTCCGCGGACGTGGTATGGATTAAGCTCAAACACCTCCATCATTGTCGGGCTGTTCAACCAGACGTTGGACAGCTTATGACAGACTCGAATCACTCGATTTGACAGTCTGTTCAAGTGCATATTCTACTCAGACCGTAGTGCCACTCAGGAAAGATCATCATGATACTCGAGTTCCATGATGTKCAATTAATACTCAAGTAAAGMTGTCCCCTTCGCTTGTGGGAGGCCTTCGTTAGTGCCTTACTACGACCTAGTAGGCACAAGTGGGGAATACGGTGCTGAAGAAACGGGCACAGGTGAAGGGAATACGGTGGCTCAGTGAGCTATAAGTATGCGTGCCACTTCAGCGGAGAGTAAGGAAATCGTCCATTGTCGCCTGACCCGCCCCTCTCTTATCCACCTAGTCTCGCTTGTTCCCCTGCCCCAAATGACAATGGCGCATTTTCTGATTACCTGATAGAGCCCCCGACTGAAGATAATAATCTGTCTCGGGAGCCGGACTTAATACAGCCAGAGGCACTTGACAGAAATGGTCAAGACCACAATGAATCTCCGCCACCTGTGCAATCTACAGAATTGAACAAATCTCCCCATGCTGCACAACCTGCGGAATCATATGATGTCATAGCGGTACAGCAAAGCCGCTGTGCGTACTAYGTCAATAATGTATGTCATACTCTCCTTGCTTACAATTGTAACCCTTACACTGTTTCCGATTTCGCAGGCGTTGTCCRCTGAATAGAAGAAGAACGTTTTGCCGTCTGCCAAGAGGAAGATAGTACTGCACCTGCTGTGAACATCGAAGTCCTGTCTATGTCATTTATGATTTATGGGTAGGCGACTATAGCTCCAGCCTGCTACATAAAACCATGTGCCAGGCATCGAATTTTCGGGCATATATCTTACATCGTCCAGGCCATTTCAGTGCTCTTACCTTTGCACATAATTCATGGACCCTATGGGACAATAGCCGTTGGCCCGCGTTGGGTGAACACAGTGGGAAGTTTTTCTATCACCAGGTGGAAGATCACTTGGTCTGGCTCTTCCATCAGGAACAGTCTGTYGATGAGCACTTGCAAGCGCTGCACTCCGCGGAGAGCAATCCGGCTGATTCTACCACAAACAATGAAGGGACCTCTCCAGAGGATGGTGGTTCCCATTGTGTCGTAGTACACTTACAGTTTGGTTGGCATGTACACAGCATAGCCTC